AGTTTAAACAATAGTTTTAATAATAATCTAAATGGTAGTAACAATAATTTGTCAACTTTTATATCAAATATTAAGGGCCAAAACTCAGTTACAGTTAAAGTTAAATTAGGGTTTTTCGATACAATGGAAGGATGTAAAAAAAATATAAGTTATAATAGAACGATGCCATGTAGCAATTGTAAAGGATATCAACCTCAAAAGTGTTCATCGTGTAATGGGTTAGGTAAAACAACAGAAAAAAGTGATATAACCATAGAAATACCAAAGAATGTATCAAATGGCCAAAAAGTAATTTATCCATCTTTAGGTAATTTATGTGATTGCAATGGGGATAGTGCCAATGGTGAAGATGATGGTAGCTACCGTAGTATAAATAGTAGTAATGGAATCAATAGAAATAGTATAAACAGTAGCAACTCCAACTTTTTTCCAAATAATTTTTATGGTGATTTAATAATACTCTTTGAAGTTGAAGACGAACAAAATGCTTCACTAAAGAGAGAGGGGGGATGATGTAATCTCAGAAGTTACAATTAATTTTATTGATGCTATTTTGGGCAGTAGAATAACGGTGCCTATTTTCTGTGGTACAATGGAGATCGATATTCCTCCTGGTACCCAGCCTAATCAAATATTAAAAATTAAAAATCAAGGCTTTTTCAATCAAAATACAAAAATAAGAGGCAATTATTACTTAAAAATAATAGTTGAATTACCTCGTAAAGTTTCACAAAAACAAATTTCATTATTAAATCAATTTTATAAATAATAATAATAATTAAAATTATAACAATAGTAATAATAATAATAATAATATTAATATTAATAAAAAATTAATATAAATTATACTCTCACATAAATTTTTTTTTTTTTTAAATAAAGTTTACTTAATATTCAATTTATTTTTTAAATAATAATTTTTAATTTTTTTTTTTTTTTAAAATTTTTCATAACCCCACTTTTTTTTATATAAAAAATTCATTTGTTTCTTCACAATTCATCCATTGAACACTATATAGTTTTTTATTAATATATATTTATTTTTTAAAATGTTAGTTGAACTTAGCAATAGTAAAGATTTTGATAATTATAAAAATAATTTAAAACTTTTAATTGTTTTAGTAGAAAATAGTGAACAATGTATGTATTTATGTTGTATTTTTAATTGTATATTTTCTTATATTAATATTATATTTTATTTATAAGATAATGTTGTTTCATCTACTATTAAAACCTTAAGTGACCATAATCCAAATATATTATTTTTAGTGGTTAGAAGAGATATATGCAAAGTAAATAAAGAATATTTTTTAAAAAATAATTTTTTATATTTTTTATTAACATTTTTTAATAAATTATAGGATTTAGAAATAATTAAAACATCTAAACCTCTTACTTTTGTTGCTTCTGTCAATGGAACAGAGGTAAAAAGATGCGAGGCCACCGATTCAAAATCAATAGAGGATTTAATTACATTTTTAAATAATCATGCAATGTTTTAGGTAAAAAAAATAAATAAAGTTTTTTTTAATAAATATTCATACTCTTATTTTAAAAGAGAAAGAAAAGTTAAATAGTTTATTTAAATTTAACAATAAATTTTAATATTTTTTTTTTTTCGATTTTTTTAATGTGGTTGTTGTAAATGATGATTTTGGTGTTGGTAAATATGGTGATTGTGGTGAGTATGATGACTTGGGTTATTAAAATGATGTTGGTTTTGGAAATGCTGTTGTTGTTGTTGTTGTTGGTATTGGTGAATATGATTGATATGGCTTAAATGATGTTGTTGCTGCAAATCATTTATATGATGTTGGTTATAGTGTTGTTGCTGAGGGTTATTTGGTTGATGAGGACTATTAACTTGTTGTTGATGTTGACCTTTAATTATTGGATTATAGTTTGGATTATTTAATTCACTAATTTTACCTTTGCCTAATAAAATTTGAACATTTGGTAAAGTTTCTTTTAAGTAAAAGTTACCAAATAAACCTTGACTATTTAGTAATTGCTTTAAGTTTTTATTCAAAAGGAAAACTGCATAGTCAAAGATACGTTTTTCGACACCTTTTGAGTATAATGGGAATTTGGAAGAGCTGTGGTGAGATATTTCATCCTTGATAAATGATCTTGAACCCATTGGTGTCATTGGATATCTGAGTGGAACATTAAGGTATTTCGAGGCCAAATGTAAAATATGACAAACATATCCTAAAGCAGTGGCAATTTGCTCTTCGTCATAACCATTATAGTCTGAATTTGGTAGTGGTAGTCCATTGATAGTTAAAAGTTTGTTACCTTGCCCAATTGGATAGATTGATCGAATTTGAGTGATAAGATTCCATTTCTTTTTTTCCCATGATACTTTCAAGTTGTGCACCAAGTGTAAATCCATTTTTAAAATTTCATTATTCTTAATTAACTCTTTTAATGATTGATAAAATGATATTCCAGCTTTGGTTAATTGTACAGATTTAGGAACCAAATCCTTCTTTAAATCTTCGAACTTCTCTTGATCTTTTTTTAATAGTTGCTTTTGAGTTGATGCTTCCTCTCTTAATAATTTGATTCTATTTTTTTGGGTTTCTAACTGTCTTAATCTTTCTGTATAGCTAGATTGTTCTTCGAGTATATCTTCAATCTTTTTCTCTATAATCTTTGATTGATTTTGCTTTTCTATATTTACTAATTTTCTATGTAATAATGATAAAAATAATGTTTTTGTACCTGTAACTGCTTTTCTTTTTTCGTTATTAATAATTTTTTGGATATCGTTTAAGTTTGGTGAGTTCTAAAAATAAAAAATAAAAATTAATATTTGTTATTTTTAAATTATATTTATAATATCGCTACTTACCATTTTATTTTTTGTTTCTTTAGTAACATAAAAACCATCTTTTAATTCAAATAAAATTGTATTTGAGGGTAAATTTAATTGTGAAAAGTGTTTAATTTCTGCAGCAATAAATTCCAATTGAGTTAAATCTATATCTGATTGGAAAATTGGAGGTATATCTTCATTATCTTTATCCCAAACACATATATTAAATGAAGAATAATAATCTAAAATCTCGACCGATAATTGTTTATAACAATCAAATGGGTTCCAAAGTGGATTCTATAAAATTAAAAAGTAAATTATAATTAATTTTTTTTTATTTTTTTTTTTTATAAAATATAGTAATACAAACATTTGAATCATAAATAACTTCGCTAGTATAAAATGCAGCTGGTAAATCATCGTCATCATCACCATTATCATTTTCTTTATTTTCTTCATTTTCCTCATTGCAACATTCCCCATCTTCATCTATATTATTGTTTATATTATTACTTTCCTCATTATCTTTATTATTAATTTCTACATCGTTATTTCCATTTATTTCAGTTTTTTCATTATTATCCTTTGATTTTACACTATTATCTTCTTGATCTTTCTCATCATCACTATTTAAAATATTTTCGAGTGCTTCAATTTCTACATTTTCCATATCATTCCAATTACTATTAAATATTGGTGAAGTTGTATTTATTGTGTCATCACCAAAATAATGATTGTGATTTAACTGGTTTAGTTGATTAATATTTACATTTGGTGGTGCATGAAGTGTATAATATGTTGTTAATAAAACTGGATCTTGGGATTTATTACATGATTCTAAATTTCTACCAATTATCGATTTAATATGTCTAAACTTTCTTAAAGATGGTGGGAATGAACTTGGACCATTAGAAATATATAAACTATTTGACATTGTATTATTATTATTAAACTGAACAGTGCTATTATGTAGTTGGTTATTATACTTTTGTTGCTGCTCATTTATGTTATGATATTGCTGAATTTGTTGTTGCGTTTGCTGAATCAATAGTTTGTTTTGTGTATGAGGATGCAAAGATTTACTTTTTGAATGGAATGAACTATTATTCCCTTTGTTACTGTTATTATTGCTATTGACATTGTGATTATTATTACTGGTGTTATTATGTGTTAAATCTATACTACTGGCACTAATATTGTCTCTATATAATTGTTGTCTTTTATTTGCATCCACATTCGAGAATGATTGACTTAAGGGTACATTATTTATATTTCTTTCGCCCATTTTTTTAATGTTTAAAGATTATTTATTATTATTGTTGTTATTTTTTAAACTATTTTTTAAATTTAAATTAATTTAATTTATAAATACAAAACTATACATATTATAGAATGAATATTTAGGTGTTATTATTATTATTTAATATTTTGTATGTTATAATATTTATAATAATATAAATAGATAATATATTTAATATTATCTATTTTTGAAGTTGACTATTGATAGATAAGTTTGAGAATTTATAAATTAATGTTTATTATTTTAAAAAATAATAAAAAAAAAAAAGAAAAAAATTTCAAAAAATAACAAAAATAAAAAAAAATTTAAAAAAATTTAAAAAAATAAAAAAAAAATAAAAAAAATAAATAAAAAAAATAAATAAAAAAAAAGATATTTTTATACATAAATACATTTAAAGTTTTATTTTTTAAATTAAAGTTCTTCTTGATCATTTTTATTATTATTACTATTATTATTATTATTATTATTATTTATATTATCATTATTTATATTATCATTATTTATATTATTATTATTATTATTATTTATATTATTGGATTTGGTTGGAGTATTTACAATATTTGGATTTTTATATGATGAAAATGTTTTTGATGATGAAGATGGCAAAGTTTGAGAATTTACAAATAATAAAGATTTACTAAAATTGTAAAAAGTTAAAAAATTAGTATAGAGTTTTTAGAAATGAAGATTTTTTTATTTGTGGGGTTAAAGTTTTTTTTTTGTTAAATTTTAAACCAAACAAAAAGAAAAAAAAGATTTAAAATAGAATGAAATGAATAAAACATACTTGTTTACTAGTTTATTTGCTTTTTCAATTGATGCTTGTAATAAATTTGAAATATTTGAAAAAGTTTCAATCTCTTTAAATGATTGAATAGTTTTAGTACTGTAATCTATATCGAATGATTTCTCTTCTATTTTATCCCCTAAATCTTTTATATTGTTCTATAATTTTAAAAAGATATTAATATATTGAAATAAAATATTTATTATTATATATTAAAATAAAATTACTTTTAAATTAATATTTTTAGGTATATTTCTTCTTATATGATCTTGAACATGAAATAAACCAATTGTAGGTTCATTTGCTATTTGTTGTATATAACTTGACATTTCTTGGTTTGTTTGGTACATTAGTTTTGCTGTTGTCATATCTAATGTCAATACTGGTCTGTTAGGGTCAAATTGTTGTTGGTATTGTTGATGTTGTTCATTCTGATAGTGTGATATTTCTGATGTTGTTGAGTGTGTGTCACTACCTATGCTATTGGATAATGCATTAAATATATGCGACATTATTATAGTACTTTGTTTTATTAAATATTATCTAAACTAAAGTAAAAAATATTAAAAAAAAAATTTAAAAAAAATTAAAAAAAAATAAAAAAAATTTTAAAATTAAAAAAATAAAAAATAAAAAATTATTATAAAAATAAATTATAAACAAAAAAAGAAATAATATATATAAATAATAAAAAAAGTTATTTTAAATACAATAATTTATTTTTAAAATAAATCAAATTGATCATTTTGAAATTATAAAAAAAAAGGATTGATTAAATTTTAAACAAAAAAAAAAAAAATTCCCATAACGACAAAAAATATTTTATAATGGCTGAATAAAAAAAAACGAAATTATTTAATTTTGCTAAAATTTATTTTTTGTTTTATGCAATGAAAATGATGATTTCATCTCGTGTTTCACCTGATTACATCGTGATTATAACATTGACTTTAGAATCTGATTCACCTTTTTTATTATTTTTTTTTTTTTTTTTTTGCTAATTTTACCACAAAATTCATTTTTATGGGGAGTTTTGCTATACAGCTTTCGAATTCTAAATGGATGGTAAAAATTGATGATCTTTTATTATATTGCTGCAACTAATATTTCTTTTCCCATTTAAAATGCTATATGCCTTTCCTTCATTTAATATTTCTTCTTTAGATAATATACCACCCAGATTCAAAAAAATTTGTGAAATTTTTAAATTATCTAATCTTATAGATAATTTGAATAAACTCTTTAAATCTGCAATTTGTAAATATGCCCCTGAGTTTGATCTTGAAATTATATCAAAAACTCTTCCATATCTTGAAGATAGTAGCTGTAAAATTGGTAAACATCCATTCAATACTAAATCTCGTAAGAATTTATTTAATTCAAAACCATTGATTCTAACATTTCTGGGGCTATATTCCAAACTATAGATGTTACTGAATAATTGATTTACAAAATCAACATTTAGATAGTTGACATTGATTTCATTTGTAATTGTAAAGAGTTCTAAATCATTGAACATTAAAATTTCATCATAACGACCACAGGAGTACAAAAATTTTATGACCGTTCTATCATAGATTGATACACAGACTGTTGAGTTATTTGATGTTAGAATATATAATTTTATAACTTCTCTATTAAATTGTGGGAATTGGGTAGGTAGTGGCGTTATACAATGATCCAGTATCCATCCATCCAAGAGATTCATATTGCATTGTTCTATTTCCCTAAGATTAAATGATTTGATTTTGCCAGTGTTTAAAATTGAAATTAATAATTTGATTTCTTTTGGAGTATTTCTTTTTAGATTATTTGATATTATAAAGCTAAATGGGTCTAGATTAAAATTCATTTCAATATTTTCATAATTTGATAATATTTCACCATTGTTGTCATTTAAAATTCTATTTAGAATTTCCAATACTATGTTGTCATTTAATAATTCAAAATTCTCTTTAAAAGGTTCTAGTTCAACTGGTGTAATTGTATTGATTTTGAAGGTACTATTTAACTGTTTCATTAGCATTTCATAATGTTCTAAAAGAGGAATTGATTTGATAAACAGCCAATTTATGTTTTCATTGTCTTTAAAAAAGATTTCTTGATAATTCTTGAAAAGGAAATCTAATTCTTTTGTTAAAGTAATTGATGAAATAATTGAGCTGCTATATGTATCTAATAGATCAAACATTTGGTATTCATCTATTATAAATTCAATTAATTCTATGTTTCTACTTTGGAAAATTGATTTTATAAAATATTTAGTTTTGCTGGAACCCTTTTGAGGGTTAAATAAAATTAAATATAAACTATTATCTACTTTATAACTGCTGAATCTAAATAAATCGGTGAGGGCTTGTTCGTTTAGAATGTTTGGGTTTGGAGCTATTTCTTCAATTTTTGTGAAAATTGTTTGTTTATCTCCAAACAATAAGTGGTAGTTTAGAGGTTGTTCAAATTTTGAAATTGAGTAAAATAAATCTACATATTTTAAAATATTTTGTTTTAATTCATTTGATGGTGGGGGTGGAGGTACTATTATTGATGAATATTGATCTAATAGGTTATTTATATTGGATTCTAACTGCTCTGTGCTAAATGTATTTGATTTTTCGATGGCTAATGTACTATCTATATTCATAATGGTTGGTAAGTTTTCAAGTAGTTTGACTAAATGCTTTAATTTGTAGTTGTTTTGAAAAATATAAAACTGATTATGTATTTGTATATCTAATTTCTTTGTATCAATACCAAGTGATCTAATATAGCAAAATATTTTAAAGTCTTGATTATTCTTGATAAAAATAGTATTTGGCCAGTTTGATTTTAAAACCATTTCGATCTCCTCTTTATCTTGACAAATTAGCTTTAAAGCCAATAGATTTGAATTTAAAATGGCCTCTCTTACAACATCCAGTCTATCAATAAATTGTAAATAGTGTGAATAGAAGGTTTGATAAAATAATTGATTTTCTTTATTATTTTTATAAATTTCTTTAAATATAATTGAAATACTATTATGGCTAAATTGTAAATATTCATTATTCTTTACTTTATCTCTAATTATACTAATTCCATTTGAAAATCTATTATAAATATATTCTACTGAAACTAATCTTTCATAATTATACGATCTTTTAAATTTATAATTTGAAAAAATTCTATTTTTTAAAAAATTATTTTTAAATACGGAATTAAATAAATTCTCTAATTTGTTAATATCTATATCATTATTTATATTGCTATTATTATTATTCATTTGGTTATTGTTATTATTTATTGTCACAGCGAATAAATTAAAAAATTTTTAAAAAAATTTTAAAAAAAATAAAATTAAAAAAATAAAAATAAAAAAAAAGAAATAAATGAATTTTAAAGTATAAAAAAGGAAAGGAAATAGTTTATATTAAAAAAAAAAAAAGAAGTAACTTTATTTATTTATTTAAAATTTTTTTGTACAAGCATGAACATCTAAAGTTAAATAGTTAATGTTAGTTAGTTAAAATGTATATAATATAATATTTAAAAAAAAATTGAATAAATACCATGATCATTATATAATGATTTCTTTCTAATTGGGGACCATTCACTTTGTTCAATTTTTTCTGGTGATTTTTGAGAAATTAAACTGCCACCTTTATATTTGCCATTTATTTCATCCAACATTGCTTGTTGAATCATTTTTTCAAAATCATCATCTGCTGTTAATGGTTGAGGTGGTAAAATTGATTTTCTAGAGGTGGGAGCTATAGATGATAATCTTTTATTTGTTATTGTGGATGCTCTTTTGTTTGATCCTGAAGATACTGGTGTTGTAGCAATAGTTGTTGTTGTTATTGCTGTTGTTTTTGTTTTTGTTATTTTGGTTGTAGTTGTTGTTGCTGTTGCTGTTGGAGTTGTTAAATCACTACTGGTTTTTAATGTTGATTTCTTTGGTGTGACTGCTGATACTGAAGAGGTGGTTACTAATGATGATGGTAATGACATTCTAATTTTCTTTGATGGAGTTGTTGAGGTTGCAAGTGCTTTTGCCATGGTTGAAGACATATTCTTTGGTGAGGTGCTATCTGAAGTCTCAATGTTTCTTTTTGAAAGGCTAGGGGTTGAACCAATTGGTTTACTAGCACTGATGGAGGTGGCAGTATTAGTAGTGGTTGCAATAGATTTTCTAGATGGAGTTTTATTAATGGTAGTGGCTGTTTTTAAGTTTCCTAATGTTGTTGTTGTAGTTTTTGTTATTGATTTTGGTGTTAAAGATACAGATTTATTTACAGTTTTATTTAAAGTCGATTTTATTGGTGTTGTTATATTGGATGTGGTTTTAGTGCTATTTAATGATGGTTTTATAGTGTGTTTGGTGGTTGAAGATGAAGAAGATAAACAAGATGATATATTTTTTTTAGGTAATTTTGATGGATGAACTAAATCTAATTTTGTGGTAACACTCTTTTCAGATTTGATATCCTGTATTCTCTTATTTGGAAATAATTGTTGTCTTTTAATTGGTTCTGTTAATGGTTTTGAGGCAGGTGATTCTATATTATTAATAGTACTATTTGAACGATTTGGGCTTGGGGTTTTAACATATAGTTTTTCAAATAATTTTGAAGGTGAGGGTGTTAATGGACAATCATCAATTGATCTTTTTGTAATATCCATTGGTATTATTTCTTCTTTTTCATATGATATATCATCTTGAATACTTGTATCCATTGAATTATTATTGTTGTCGTTGATATCCATACTCAATTTAAATAATTTAAAGGGTGATGAAGAGACGGTAGGTGGTGTTGAAGATTTAAAGGTCATATTGGTTGAAAGTATTGGTGATGTTGAGTAACTATATTTATTTTTATTTGGATTTGGTTGCTCTATATTATCATTACTATTTAAATTACTAAAGCTTCTCTTTAATAATGGGCTATTATTACCACTGTTGTTATTATCTATGTTTATTATATGTGTTTTTGGTGAAAGGGGTCTACAATAATCGAATGTTAAACTATTATTGCTATTTCTTAAAGTTTTAATGAATGAATTTTCTTTTTCGTTGCTATTATTAAAAACATTATTATTATTATGAATATGGGTTTTTTTATTGGGTGGTGTCTAATTTATTAAAGAGAAATCAAATAGTGAGTATGTAATGATTATGGATCAAATAAAAATATATAATATTTACATTATTAGGTTGATCATATGAATATTCATCAAAATCTAATTTAAAATCTTCTTTTTTAATTTTAAAATCTAATAATAATTAAAATATAAAAATGTTAATAAAATATGTTATTTTTTTTTTTTTTTTGTAAATATTAATATACTTGCTTGAAATGGATGTAAAATCAAAATCATCTCTATTTATACTTTGATTCAATGTTATATTTCTTTTGGGTGGATTCATTTACAAAAATAAATTATAATTTTGAACTTGAAAAAAATAAATAAAAAAATAAATATAAAAAAAAATTAATTAAATTTTTTTTTTTTTAAATTTTAAAAAATGGCGCATAATTTTTTTTCAACTTAACACGTTATATTTTTATTTGAAAATAATAGCAATGTAAAATTTGGATGTATTTTTATAATATTTTATATAATAACTATAGAATCAATCAATTTACATTCAATATTATTTATAGTTTAACAAAGGTAAAATGATTTTATTTTAATAATCACATTTAAAGGAACGAAAATAAAATTTAATTTAAATTTATGCTTTAAATTAATCAGTAAATTTTATTTAATTTTTTTTTTTTTTTTTTTTTTTTAAAAGTTTTTTTAAAAGATAATTAAAAGCAAATGCTTTAAATTAATTTTTTTTTTTTTTTTTTTTTTTTTTTTTTTTAAAAAATCTAAATTAATCAGTAAAAAAATTTTATTTAATGACCAGTATAATGACTGCTTTTCGAACATTTGTAAAATTCTAACAAATTACAGCAATTGTAAGGTACAAAGATCAAATAATTAATATTGATTATTATTGAGTAATGATCCTTGTTCATTACACAATAAAATTTAACCAAATAACCGGGAAGAAAATTTTAAATGAAATGATTGCAAGAGGCGAGATTCGAACTCGCGAACCGACAGGATGAGATCTTAAGTCACACGGATTTAACCAGGCTTTCCTACCCTTGCTTTTTATAAATGTTTAAAAAAATCTCTTTAAACCGACCCATAATTATTCAGAGCTTGGGGAAAAGCTTTACAGGTTTAACACAAATGCTGCAAAATATTTAAAAATATTAATACAGGGTTATAGAAGAACTTTACAAGAGAAATGAATTTTATCTGGTCATATGTTTCTTTTACAAGACAGTTGCTCTATTCATATGACCTAATTATTGGCGGATTTTTAAGAAAAAATGCACATTAGGGTGATATTTATTCTACCCTGTTCACCAGATCTTAATATTATTGAGAATATATGGTCAATAGTAAAACGATGTATAAAATTGATTTCTATCGGGTACCCACGTCATAATTTCAATATTTTAATTTGTTGAATTTTAAAAAATATTCATCAAGATAAATTTGATAATCTTTATGAATCAACCTCAATAAAAATACAACAAATAAATAAGAACTAGGTGAATTCACAAAATATTAAGAAACAAAACATTAAAAAAAAAATTTTGTTTAAAAAATAAATTATATATTAAAATTTAAATTATCTTTTTAAAAATAATGAACCCATTTTTTTTATATGTAAAAAAAAAAAAAAAAAAATTTCAAAAAAAAAATTTTTATTTTATTTTTTTTTTATAAAAAAATATAGTTCAGATGTTCTAAAATTTATTTTATATTTTTTAGAATAATTGAAATTAAAATTATTGAAGATAAATAAAAATAAAAAAATTTAAAAAAGGGGGTCAAAACTTT